GCGTCTCTAGATCTCGAAAAGCTTTGGTAACGATCCCTAGATGGAGAAGATATCCTTACTCTACAATCTCGTTGAATATATCCAAGCTTATGGCACCGGTAACATTCTACCCGGTTTTTCGGTGTTGGCGTTCGTCTGGAGTCTTTTCCCGTTTTTCTACCTTCTAGTAGTTTTAGTAATAGTTTTTCTATTTTCTCCATGAAATTATACTCATAAGATTGTTGAAACTACCATCTTATTTTGACGATTGCTTTATTTTTGGGTCTTCAACGGACACTGCTCGTATTCTGAGTCGTGAGGCTCTTAAGATAGCTTCCAGTTCCAATGCACGGACAAGGGCTTCGCTACTTTGTCTGAACCTAGGTATTCTCGGGTTTTCCTGGATCTTGGAATCTCTAAGGCCATCAATAAATGCAGATACTGCCATCCATTCCTGATGCATGTCTTCCTCAGCTGCAAGAAAGGCCAAACTCACTAGCCCCTTAACTTCCGATTTAAATTCTTGTAAACTCTCGCCGAATTTTTGAATTCTTGATTTAACTTGAGTTTTGAATACTTCTTGCCTGTAATGGTCTCCGAAGCGCAATTCTAACGTCTGACTTAGATGCTGGTAATTCTGTTGAGATTGGAGTAATGGACTGAAGAAGATCTAAGGCAGGTCCCCGTAGCGCCACTATCAGTGCTGTAGCTTTTTCTTAATCGTTGCATCCGTTGGTGTTTGCAGCGGCTTCAAATTGTCGTATATATATGGTTCAGGACGTAGAATCGTCAAAAGTTGGTGAATTTATCTTCATACTAGAGAATAATGCTCCACTACCTGGATTGATGAACTGTATTTCTAATTTATTCACCCTATCTTTAACTTCTTGAACATCGTCTTCGGCTTCCACTTCCTTGATCTTTTGATCTAGGTTAGCGACAGATCCTTGTATGGTTTGAAATATTTTCTGCAGTTTTCCGATATCTTCTTGCTGTTCTTGTTGTCGCCTAGCCTCTTCTTGCTGTTTTTCTTTTTGTCGCCTGCTTCGTGTTGTCGTCCAGCTTCTTCTTCTTGTTTTTCTTATTGTCGTTTAGCTTCTTCTTCTTGTTTTTCTTTTTGTCGCCTGGCTTCTTCGTCCTGTTTTTCTTGTTGTCGTTTGGTCTATAGGGATATACAGAATGTTCTGGAACTTTCCTTAAACTTTCTTCAAATATCTTTCCTGGTCTTTACTATTGAAGTTCCAAACACGTCGGTGAAGTCACAAATTGGATAACTTGCTCTATTCTCGAATAGAATGTTCTAGAATCAAAAAGAATTTCGTAGAACTTACTTGAAAATTCACTATCACAGTCAAAATCAGGTATACAGTCACAGGTAATTTACACAATCGGTCAAGTCTCTTTTGGTGATTGTCACTGCTCACACTGACTAACTGTCCTGTTTACTCAGTGTTCACAATAGTGTCCGAAGTAGTCCGCACTATATTCTGCAATCGGATTTCCCTTTGCAGTCCTCGAATAATATCTCACTTCTGACGCCAATGTCACGGCTGTGGCTTGCGTGACAGAAATCTTGGGTTTGTTTGTTCCAAAATCAAAGTCTAATTATAGTCCAAGAGCCCAGAGGCGTCTGACACAACCTATTTTCTAAGGAGAGAATATGTAGGATTGAGTAGCACTTATGTATCCTATTCACAATCCGTAGTCCAAAGGTGAAGGTAAATTTATCACCTTTCCCTATCTATCAAATAGCACTGAAAGGTGATAAATTTTACCTTTACCGTTGGACATCGGATTGTGAATAGATAATAGGTACTATGAACGTATGTATACCCGCTAAGTTGGGTAGACGGCCAATTGAAAATAATAGTAACAGCTGAAACTGTTATTTGTAAATAACGGTTTTTCTCGTTTCTACTGCAGCCTGGAGTAGACTGTGAGTTTAAGAGGGGGAAATCAGTTGACATAGATATCTCGCTCACTCTTAAACGCATGCATAGTAATCTCGCGCTCACACTCCCGGAAAAATTATTATTTCATCTGGGGGGATGTTTGGCCGGAATGGACGGTGCGATTGGTCTAGCTGAGCACACGTAGTTATGAAATAGTCTCCCCAATAACACATATAAAAATCAAGCGATAGAAAAAAAGTTAAAGTTTTTCTCAGCTTTTGCACATTGTGTCGGTAAATTGGCCGTAGATCCAACTTAGCGGGTATACATACGTTCATAGTACATATAAGCGTTGATATAAGTGCTACACAATCCCACATATTCCATATTCTGTCCTTTAGAAAATAAGTTGTGTCTGGCGGCTCTGGGCTCTTCCACTATTAAGACAACAATAATTTAATCCACGTTACTTCACACTTATTACTTCACTAATTAACTTAAACCACTTAACTCTTTACAGCTCTTACAATAATCACTGAAACGTATCACGCAGGCAATTTTAAACTTAAAAACTAATACCGGCATTTATATATCCGTAATCTGTTCCTGTAAAATCTAAAATAACCGCGATAGCCTCTTTTCCTTAATGAATCAGTATTTTCTAGATTTTAGGTTGGATTCTCGATACCCTGGCGGATGCACCACCGTCACACTACTTTTTTCTAAGCTTATATCATACAAACCTTGGAAAATTGTACCATACCAAACCCTTGTTCTCAAAGTGATATCCAATGAAAGTTTATAGAAAAAAAAAATTAATTCTTGGAGTAACATTTCTGCTTTACTACTTTACTCAATCACTTTCAGGTGTAGAAATATTGTCAACATAATATGCCAAGCTTTTACCTACGAAACCAGAAAGCTGTGGCTAGGTTGTCACTTGTCGATGCTGAAAATGGACCTTAGAGTCCGCGTCAGCAGTAAAGACTACAGTGACGACATAAAAAGCTGCGCGAAGCGGGTCCGATCTCTCTCCCTCGTCTATCTCTCGCTGTCTGCCGTGACCTCGGCCGTGAGCTGGAACCAGCAGCGGGGTACCTTTTTAGACAAAACTTGGATACAAAATAAACTAAATAAATATGCCTGCTGGCCGTACGACAATGAACCACGTGCTTGGCGTTCGGCAGCAGCACCGATCGATACGATAGTTCGGTTAGTCTTCAAAATTGGGTTTGTGCGCATATGACGACACCGTACTCTTTACTCTTGACGCGGACTCTACCAACCAGGCGAATTACATCTAGAAGGCAAACGAATGTTTAACTGCATTTACAATCAAAATATTTCAGAATCCTTTGAAGACGAAGGCTATTTTCAGACTGGAGATTAGATGACTTCTTGAAAATCAAAACATGAATATTTTAGATGGACGAGTAGTCTAGGAAAATAGTCGAAAAATACATGCATTGCAAAAAAAAAATCCTACCCAAATGAAATTTTCAGGGATGATAGGGGGCGGGTGGGTGATCATAAAACCGAAAATATCAAACATTCACCCCTCTGGCGTTTTGCGCTATAGGGGTTGAAAGTGCGCCATTGGCGATTACTTGGTACCTATTGATTTTACAAAAAAATGTTTCAAATAAAAGATGTGCAACATTATTTGATCTACAATGTTTATCTACAGACTTTTTTGATTAAGGGCCGTCTGTGGTCATAAGGGTCGTTTGAAATTTTATAATGAAAATGAAAAATTTTAACCAACGTGAAAAAATTTTCTACAATATATACCTACAACATTTTTGCTTTATGAAGTTTTTACTCACCCCCCGCCGTTTTTCAATAGGGGTAGTTTAAAGTTTATTTATTTTTTTACAAAAAAATTTTCCTAATAAAAGTTTTATAGGATTACATTTCCTACAATTTTTCCCAATCAACTTTTTTTGTAACTCACCCCCATTCAGCGGGGGGACACTTCCCTTAGGGAAATTCTAGTTTTTAGGGGTATATATTAATTTTTTTTTTCTTTTCTCGCCTTTAGTGCATATAAAAAGGTGCAATTAACATTGTATCAAAATATTTTTTTTTCCACCACCTTTTTGTTTTTAGGGGTAGTTCGCCTATTTTCAACTTTATAAAAAAAAGTTATAGAGAAAAGTTGTTCAAAATAATAAAATGATAAAGTTTTTTTAAAAATTTTTTTTTTGTAAAGTTGAAAATAGGCGAACTACCCCTAAAAACAAAAAGGTGGTGGAAAAAAAATCCTTTTAGTACAATGTTAATTGCACCTTTTTATATGCACTAAAGGCGAGAAATGAAAAAAATAAATAAATAAATATATATATACCCCTAAAAACTAAAATTTCCCCGAGGGAAGTGTCCCCCCGCTGAATGGGGGTGAGTTACAAAAAAAGTTGATTTGGAAAAATTGTAGGAAATGTCATCTTATAAAACTTTTATTAGGAAAATTTTTTTGTAAAAAAATAAAAAAACTTTAAACTACCCCTATTGAAAAACGGCAGGGGGTGAGTAAAAACTTCATAAAGCAAAAATGTTGTATGTATTGTAGAAATTTTTTTCACGTTGGTTAAAATTTTTCATTTTCATTATAAAATTTCAAACGGCCCTTATGACCACAGACGGCCCGTAATCAAAAAAGTCTTTAGATAAACATTGTAGATCAAATAATGTTGCACATCTTTTATTTGAAACATTTTTTTGTAAAATCAATAGGTACCAAGTAATGGCCAATGGCGCACTTTCAACCCCTATAGCGCAAAACGCCAGAGGGGTGAATATTTGATATTTTCGGTTTTATGATCACCCACCCTCCCCCTATCATCCCTGAAAAGTTCTTTTGGGTAGGATTTTTTTTTTGAAAATCGACAATTTTCCTAGACGCCTAGGCCGGGAAAGTGATTCCCGTATTGTTATTCATTGATTCCTTAGCAACTATTGAAACATAATTAAAATACCAGAATATTGGGTTTTGTGACCTGTCAACCGGTTGAAAATGCTGACATTTCTTGTCAATCGCAGAAAAATAATTTTCTTAATTAAATTATTTTCTAGATTAAGAGGGGGACTAATGTTAAAAATGGTTCTTGATAAATCAAATCAATAGATTATTTATATTCTATTTATAATAAATTCTAATTAATTTTAATTGATGTGACCAAATAAGTATATTATGCATCTATTTTTGATAGCATTAGCTTGTTCAGACATTAGTAGGTACTTTCAAACAAAAATGGAGTGGCTGAAAAGTTTAATTGCAAATGATTATGCTGACATGGTAAGAAAATTTTGAACTATTCATTATCTTTAATATTTTTGATTTTCCACTTTTCCAAACTAAAACGCAAAAAATTCTTTTCCTCAGCACTAGCAAAAGAATATTCGATGGATTTATAAGAGATTGTCCATAATTCCAACTCATTTAGTTTGCTTGCTTTGTGGATATGAAGAAATTCTTCTGATAGTGATGTATTGAAAACGCCTTTATCATCAGTCTGAAAATAAAAAATACGATTATTATTTATAGCTGATATGTTTTTACTAAACTTACAGCTAGACAAAAAGGTAGTTTTTCTTTAATCCATTCTTGAACATGGTGTTCTGCATAGGAGTTTGCTGTTAAGCATATCACATTAGACGTTAGGCAGCATTCTAAAATATAAGTAGCTGGTTTAGAAAAAGATATTTTGTTTATTTTGTTCTAAACTCACCAACAGGAATGTTTAGTTGTTTGTATAGGGCCCATAATTCTGGATTTGTATGTATAAAAGTACCATGTCCTAATCTATCAGGCTTAAATTCCAAGATGTTTTTCACTTCGGCATCATTTTGTATTTCAGCACAGTGTATTGCTTAAAAATATTTTGATAAATATTGAGTTTTTAACAGAACTCTCGTTGTAGGTACCTGTTTTAAGTCCATTTTCTCTAGCCTTTTCAAAAATATCCCTAAAAAAATCTCCTTTTGCCGGATCCCCACTAAGATCAACCCCTCTTATTAAATCCGGAAAACTATTTTTAAACCTAATGATTCTATCCAAAGTTTCTGTTTGCTCTTCTCTTGATCTCCTTCTATCCAGTGACAAGATTAGCTTCACCAAAATACCATCAAATCGATTTTCCCTGATCGCTTTTATCACCGTTTCGATATAATCGTCCTCAGACATGCCCTCTTCAGACCTGGGAGTTGTTCTAAGCTCTAAATAGACTACATTATCTTTGGCAAATTCTTCAATCACGTTTTGGGTGGCAATGTACAAGTTTTTTGTGTTACTGGTAGCTTCGTGAGCTACTTTGAATAAGGCAAACGCGTCTTTAAGACCTATTGCTTTAACGGATTGGTATTGGCTGATGGAATTTTCTAAGCATCCTAATTGTTTAAGTGTTAATTTGCTTAGGGAACCGTTGAGATGGGCATGAAGCTCCTTTGAAAATAATAATTATATTGATAAATTATCAACTGAAATTTTATTTGATTTTGTGTAAGCCTATATTAGCAAAACAAAACAAGTTAAGTTTACAAAAAATTAGTAGGTACCGATTGTATTCTGGCTCACTTTAGTAATGTTTTCAAAATACTTACAATTTTAGGAAGTTTGTGGCAAAACAAATCCATAACTTTATTTGAGGTTGGGTTTGTAACCGTTTGTAACCGCGGGTTAGGTATTCTGAAATCATGCGTACTATTGAAGGTACTTTAGGTACTCACCAGTTTTGCAATGCTGCCTTGTTGTGACTAGCTTCCTGTTTGTCATGAAAACTATTTCCATAATAGCCTATCTTAAAATTTATTTATTGACGGAAAATCCCATAATAGCATACAAAAAATCTATATACAATATATAAACGTTTAGACAACAAATTAAGTTGACAACAAGAATTAAAATAGATTACTCAACAACATGACAAGATGGCGAACGTTACTTACAATAAAATTATTCTCATGTACCTACTAAATATCACATTGCCATCATCAGGTACAGGAATTTTGTTTAAGGAGTTAAGCTCTCTTTTATAGTCTTCACAAGTACTGAAATTACTGCAATTTGCAAATCAAGTGAGGTTTCCTAAACGATGTATTCTGGTACTGCCTATAATTTCCAGTACTGTTTGTGCCCAAGACTAGGGTGGAAATGTCCATATTTTCACAAACACCCTTTTTTCGATGGATCGCAATTATTAGTTTTACCCCCTTAAACCTCCCCCAAAGTAATTTGCAAGTCAAGTGATGTTCCCCAAACGATGTATATTGGTACTGCCTATAATTTCCAGTAATGTTTGTGCCCGAGACTAGGGTGGAAATGTCCATATTGTCACAAAAACTCTTTTTTGGATGAATCGCAATTATTAGTTTTACTCCCTTAAACCACCCTCAAAGTAATTTGCAAGTCAAGTGAGGTTCCCCAAACGATGTATATTGTTACTGCCTATAATTTCCAGTACTGTTTGTGCCCGAGACTCGGGTGGAAATGTCCATATTTTCACAAAAACCCTTTTTTCGATGAATCGCAATTATTAGTTTTACCCCCTTAAACCATTTCCAAGTAATTTGCAAGTCAAGTGAGGTTTCCTAAACGATGTATTTTGGTACTGCCTATAATTTCTAGTACTGTTTGGGCCCGAAACTAGGGTGAAAATGTCCATATTTTCACAAAAACCATTTTTTCCATGAATCGCGATTATTAGTTTTACCCCCTTAAACCACCCTCAAAGTAATTTGCAAGTCAAGTGTTCCCCAAACGGTGTATATTGGTACTGCCTATAGTTTCCAGTACTGTTTGTGCCCGAGACTAGGGTGGAAATGTCCATATTTTCACAAAAACCCTTTTTTCGATGAATCGCAATTATTAGTTTTACCCCCTTAAACCACCTCCAAAGTAATTTGCAAATCAAGTGAGGTTTCCCAAATGATGTATTTTGGTACTGCCTATAATTTCCAGTACTGCTTGCGCTCGAGACTAGGGTGGAAATATCCATATTTTTGCAAAAACTAATTCTGCAAGATGTAGATATTTGCGTTAGTAGAAAGATCAAATTTTCAAACAATCCTAAAATGTATAGGTACCTAAGTTACACAAATAAGCAAAAATCGCAAGGAAAAGTTCATAATCAGCTAGTCTGCAAGTGATAAAAGCACGCCTTATATTATTTAAAATTTATTAAAAAATAATAACTTGATAAACAATTATACATTTTAAGTCATTAGGTAATTCAATCAATTTATATGATAGGATACAATATAAAAAAAAAATTATGTTTCATATTAAAAAATCAAGATTATTCTTCAGTCTTCTATGGCCTGACTCTATATAGTAGACAAAATACAAAAGAAATTAAATAAAACTTGTGATTCATGTTAAGACTAGATTGGAGTGACGATAAAAATATTTACAGAAATCATAACTTGAAGCATTTTTTTCTAAAATACTGCAGCAACAAAATAACACTCATTCTAACCATATTGATTTGTACTCCTTATTTAATACACCACTGACTGATATACATATATAATTTTATTAATATACTCTAGAAAGTTACCATTCAACATCTTAATGTTAATTTTTACAGCTCGTTTTCTATACCTAAATGTACTTCATACATGTATGCATGGTTATTGCTTAATATTTTGTTTCACCTATAATATAATATAACGTTTTATTCTACATATTGGATGGCTTGTAACTCACTGGCATAATTGAAAATAGTGAACCTGTATCTTGATTTTGGAAAAACATTGGAAGCTAGAATGTGCAGTCTTTTGAAGCCCTATATAGAAGACAATTATAAAAAGAACTTTTTCGATATGTTGAGATATTATAGTTAATAAAATTTATTTTGTATGCCTTGGGTTTGAGAAAACCTGTGTGCCTACATGTACCGCAATCACCTCCTAAGAAACCCCATATTATCTTCTAAATAGAATCATAAGCAATGTCGATGTTTTCTAATGAAATCATTAAGTATTTTATATTTTGGGTTATCAAACCAATATCTCTCTGATGCCCTGGTTTTCGTTTTCGTTACTATTGTCCAATCTTCATTTGAATTTAAAAATGTAAAAAGTAGTAAACCCAATATTGCTCTAATTACACTGGTGAGTATACAAGCCAAAATAGCAGAAACCTTTTCGAAATAATAAATTTGATTGTCTATGATAAAACGTATAAGCGGTTTGAAGAGCTTGAAACAAAACAGCTTAGATGTGAACCAGCCCTTGGAAACTACGCACATATACAGATCCTTAATGAGCAATTTATATAAATAATTAACAAACCTGTTTTAAACAGCAAATTTGATTGTGCACAAAATTGTCTAACAAACTCAATGGTCAAAGCCTCTAAAATAGAAAAATATGACTAGAAAATTATTGTAAAATAAATACATATTATCCTATTAAACCTATATAATAAAGCTCTTTTAAAGTTGTTTGTAGTAGCTCCACTGAATTAATCTCTATTGTATAATCTACAACAATTAAATCTATTAATGTTCAATGGAGTTATTCAAACAACAAGTTCCAAATATCAATAAGTCACAAACATATATATAGAACCTCATTGTACACATTATTTAATCACAGACAAGGCTCTTGATTAACATCATCAATATTTGGAACATGAGTGATAAACTCTCCCTAAACATACTTTGTTTTTAACCTAATGATTAAAGCTTTTTTCTTAATTTGTTTAATTCGCGTCCTAATAAATCTTTTTAAAGGTCCAACTTCATGAAGCAGACCTAATATAACAATACTTAAATTAATAATACCAAAAAAAAACAAACATACCTAAGATATAAATGCAACAAGTTTTAGAGATTTGATGACACTCTGCTGGGTAACAAAACACTATCTCTGATTTATTATTGGAAACTGAACTACAATTTTGTAGAAGAAATTGCACTCGAGCTTTCAATTTTTCCTTATTTTATAAGATTGTATGGTAATTTTTGGTCCAAGTTGCAATTTTTAAAGGACTAGAGTGGAGTGCCTATGCAAGAACAAAAATGGCAGTAAATTTCTCGTGTAGGAATGTTATTGTGAAAACTCCTCTAATGCAGCAAAGAAAAATTAATTATTCAATAAATATATCTAGTGCAAAATCTGTACTCAGTATAGGCATTTTGATCTATTTTTTTTAGATTGTTTTCCCAGAGTTCATATGCTATACAGGAGGAACATGGAACTTCATATATATGTAATTGAATTTGGGTTCCACATTTTGAGATGAAGATACAAGCAAGTTCCGATATAAGTAGGTACAGATTTTGTAATGATGTGAACCTAAAATCAGCATAGCCAAAATAATCTAGACACTATAATTCGTGGGACGTTTTCGTTTGAAAACTAGCGCAAAAATGCTTCGTAACCGCCACCATTTACTGTGCCGTCGTAGTTTTCGTTCGTTGCCAGGCAAACCCGATCTGTCCCTTTCCTTAGTCCGAATTTCCCGGACTAGAGTGTGAAAAGCGTCGTCCACGTACGTCCTTAGACAGGCCGAGGTTTCATAAAATGGACAGCCGAATTGACGTGCCAGAGATTTTCCTTTTAGAATAAATTACTTATAAAAAATAAAATTACTTAAAACAAAACTTTACCTTCCTCAGTGGAAACTTTGCGTTGCATATGAAGATCGAATTTGTTACCTACTAATACTATGGGCGTGTCTTCGGAAGCTCGGACTTTCTGGATCAGTTTTCTGTATTCTGAGGCTTCTTGGAAACTGTGCCGGTCCGTTACGCTGTAGCAAATCATGAAACCTTCGCCGCATCGCATGTACTGATCACGCATTGCTGTGAATTCAACCTAAGATTCATATATTATTAGGATTAACGATTCTTAGTTTGGATTATAATTTTATACCTGTCCAGCAGTGTCCAATATATCTAGTAGTGCTGGTTCACCATCGATGACTGCTTGTTGTTGATATGAATCCTCTGGAAAATAATGGAAATTTTTGTGATTTGTTTGAACATTTTCAAAGCAATCGTTTTTCGTTTCTGATTTGGCGAAGTAAAGCTATTCCCAAAATAAATCAAAGATTCTGCAGTTCTAGAATTAATCAAGAACTGGTTTCAAAATGTTCAGAGTTGCTTTTAAAACATCTACTTCCAAAGCATCAGCAGAGAGGTTATTCTAAGGATTTTTTTCCACTGCACATAAAGCAAATAAATCACTGTACAGTGTGTCCCAATAATTGGTGGTGCATGTATTAGGATATAGGAAACTATAACAGATACGAGGGAGGTTAAATGGGAAAAGTCTTGGACAATTATGTTAGACGTTCAATAGCGCTTGCAGATTGAGTCTATAGCTATTCACATTTTTGAGATATTTAGAGAGAACTGAAACGTTGGTTTTTTGAAAATAGGCTGTAAATCTTTTATTTTTGAAAATTTCTCAAATCTGTAAAAACACTTTCAAAGCAACTCTTTGTGCAAAATACGCATATGCGATTAGATTTTTTTTAGCACGTTTCGGTTTTCTGAACCGTCATCAACTTCATTATTTCTTATAGCCGCCATATTGGATTTTCATACCGTATATAGAGTAAAACACGATTGGAAAAAGACAAATTACATCAGTTGGTGATCGGCACAATCGATTCAGCAGTGGAGTTCGGTCCTCAGCAAGCAAAACGACCACATGGTGTCATTTTTCAGCTCGCAGAGTATCAACCGAACTCGCCTATTGTTTCCGTGAAAGCCTAAAGCTGGCTTCTCAAGCGTCCGTTATCCGATGATACGATCATCCGACAGTCAGGAACGATTCGTATCATCGGATGATGGATGCATGTGGATGAGAAAAATATTAAATATGTAATCATACATTTTCTGACCAATATAGGAAACCGTAAATTCAACTAATAGGAATGAGTTCGTATCATCGTATCGTCGGATGACGGACGCATGCGAAGGAAGCTTTAAGAGGCATCTCATGAAATGCAGTCGGCAACAAATGTCAAAGTCATACCTTAGCATTAGATATGTCATAATAATAGACGTAGTTGGGAGGTTGGGAGTATTCTATGGTTGGGAGCAAATAGGTAGAAATTTGACAGTACGCATACAGTAAAAATACCCCTAACGCCCCCAGCGGCGCGCGCATCAATGTTCTCTCCCAGTCCATCTCATTACTTTTAACCATATGCTTTGAGCAGGTCCTGAACTTCAAACGTATCCGTATCCGCATCGATCTGCGCATGCGCAGATTAGATACGATAGTTTCATTGCGTTATCCGTATTGTAACGGGCCTCGTATCCGTATCCGAAAACGTATTTCAATAATTTGATACTATTGAGAGATCTTCCTGTCGGTTATCACTAAATAGTATATTATGCAATGATCATGTAATGATAGCCATTAATACACGAGCATGTTGTAGAAACGAGCCGCAGGCGAGTTTCGTATATAACATGCGAGTGTATTAATGGCCATTACATGAGAGTTGCATACACTATTTTTTCTACTGCCATTGATAAAACTTATGACATTTAGATATGTCAAGATTATGCTTAACTTTGAATAGAGATTTTATAATTGAGTAATCCATACAGTTGAAGGTTTCGTTTTTTGTTGTAATTCTTCAAAATATACTATCAAAACATTTTCTGAGAAGGACGATGTGTTTTTGGTGTTTCCAATCCATAAATTGTTCATATAATTTTTCGTACATTTTCTTGGACTTGTCCGGTAGTATATTATTACCTGCATTTATCGCCCTTTCTGTAATTTCTGGAGGTGTTAGTGAAAATTCTTTGTTATCACTCAATATTTCCATAATAATGCCTTATTCCAAAGATTAGGTAACTTTTAATAAAATTCAAAGTATTTTTTTTCATAAAATTATTGTTTTTCGCTAAATTACCATGGAAAAGCTATAAACAGAGTGCTGTCAACATTCAAAAAAAAAATAAGTCAAAATTTCTTTACTGGTGGCGCCATCTATTGACAATGTATAATAATGAAAAAAGTAAAAATTCTTCCTTATCACTCATTATTTCCATAATAATTATTCTTTGTCCCAAACTTTAGGTAACTTTTAAACAATTCGAAGTCTTTTTTGTAGTTATCAAAATAATTGTTTTACGCAAAATTACCGTTTAAAATGTCTAATATCTTAATTGGTGGTGCCATCTATCCACATTGTATAATATTAAAAATCTGTATTATAATGAAAATCTGTATCATAATGAAGTTCATTATGATACAGATTTTAATCGTTTAATAGCGTATTATGAAATGTCAGTAGAAAAATATATTTAACAACATAAACATAGTACTTATGGATAAAAAAAAAAACCTACAAATACAGCTACACAATCAATACATCACTTTTTGAGGTTAGAAAACGTTTCATCCAAGGATACGATTGTTTACGTAATGTATGACCATGCCTAAAAGGATTTTTAGGCGATCAACGTAAGTCGATGCGTTTCCGAATGCGGATACGAATACCTAGAAAAATTTAGAGTTTGCCTAAAGTATCTATTATTCAATCCATTTCAATGATTCAATCTCAATCGTTTGTTTATATTTCATAGATAACTTGATGTAATTTTTAATGTTTTGGTTGCCAACTTATATGTATCAAAGTAGAGAGAGTGAGTGCGTCTGTGTTGCTCGTCGAAGAATCAGGAGAATCAAACTAGAGATCTTCGAGCAAATAGGTATATTTAATATCTCAGCAGAGCGTTTTACCCTTGTTTACTATTATACAGAGCAACTGTGCTCTGAAGCGCAGTGGAGAATGGATTAGCAAATACGTGTATTTTAGATTGCCAATGTTTACTGCAGTTGAGCACATCGCCCAAACTATAATGTTCTGAATCGCAGTAAATGTTGGCAATAATACAAACGCGTGTTGCTATTGGCCATTGCTAACTCATTACAGCGTAGCCACGCCTTGCGGCGATATCTTGTCTTGTCATCTAGTTAATTAAGGGACTTCTCGAAAGAGGAATTATTATAACTTATTTGTTAGACACGCGCTTTCAAATTTCTTTGCTATTCATCGTTAATTGTACTCTCGTTTATATAATTTTCTGTTTCAATGGAATATACATATTTCAGCTGATATCTGTAGTTCTTCTAGTTCGAATCTACACCAGTTTCAGTTTCAATATCTCAGGGAGTAGAGCTCCCAAATCAGACAGAAGAATTTAATATGATTTTTAAGTGTTACAGGATAATACCTAAACCTATAAAGTATATAAATTTGTACTGTTGCCTGCTGCTTGTTTCATTTTGGATCTCACGTTCTCCCTTTAATGATCGTTCCAAGTTCTTTTTTTTTTAAAGCAATATTCTGACAAAATTTTACTAAGTAGCTGTAATGCGCGCAGTAAGCAATCGCCAATAGCAACGCGCATTTATATTATTGCCAACATTTACTGCGATTCAGAACATTATACTTTGGGCGATGTGCTGAATCTCAGTAAACATTGACAATCTAAAATGCGCGTACCTATTTGCTAATCTATTCTCCACTGCGGTTCGGAACACAGTTGCTCTGTATAATAGTAAACAATGGTAATACGCGTCCGGTCAAGCGGTGTGGTTGTAGATACGGCAGAAGGAGCAACGAACCTCTCAAATTTGGAAGGTATTAAATAGGTATATTTGCTCGAAGTCCTCTGGTTTTATTTTCCTGGTTAAACTTATTAGGCTTTTGATTTTTTGGTCTCAGATTGAAAACAAAACTCGAGACTCTTAGATACTTAAAAAGTGAAGCATGTACCGAACTGAAGATGGTGAACCTAAGACCAAACAAACATTTTTTCAGAAGTGGCTTTAAAACATCTGCAACATCGTCCTATCATCATATTGAGTAGTACCAGTAAATACTGAAAAATACGCTATAGAAGGTAACAATTTAAACAATAATTCAATAAGCAATAGCAGTGAAACTGTATTTATGACATCTAATAGTGAGAGAAATACTGGAAGCGAAAGAAACCAAAGTGATATTGCAAATGTTAATGTATTGTTGCGATGCGCCTCGCGATGCGCCTCGCGATGCGCTTCGCCATGGTATCCAGAATACATGCCAAAGTTCCAGAAAAAAAAACTAGTAAGTTCTGCTTTATTCGGGCATCGGATTATCGCGTTTATTCTGATTATTACATGAATAGATTTACGGATATATAAAGGCCGGCATTAGTTAGTAGTTTTAAGTTTAAGTTTGACTGTGATATGATTTAGATAGTGACAAGGACGTATATGAGGGGGGTTTTGGGGGTTCAAACCCCCCCACCCCCTCCACCCCATTGGACTGAATAAATTATTTTTTTGAAGAAAAATAAATGTTTTTGGGCGTGGCACCCGAAAAAAATTTCGGCGATATTCTCCGGCGGCGGCACCTGCGGTGGATATGCCAGGTTACCTATATATCATCTGGTCTAAAATTGAAAACCCTTCCAGCATAGTCGACTACGAGCCGCCACTGCTCTAAGCCCCCCCCCCCCATGTAAAAGCTCTAGCTACGTCCTTGGATAGTGATTATTGTTGAGAGTTGTAAAGAGTTTAGTTGTTTGAGTTAATTAGTGTCATAGTGTGAAGTAACGTGGCATTAATTATTGTGGTGATAATTGGACTTTGATTTTGGAATAAACGGACTCAAGATTTCTGTCACGCATCACAGAGCCGTGACATTGGTGTCAGAAGTGAGACATAATTCGAGGACTGCAAAGTGAAATCGAATCGAATTTGTGACTTCACCGACGTGTTGACTATACCAATAGACATCCAGAAAAGACATTTGAAGAAAATTCTAGAACATTCTATTTGACAGTAAGGCAAGTTATCCAATTTGTGACTTCACCGACATGTATGGAACTTCAATCAAAGACCAAGGAGGATATTTGAAGTTTGAGAGAAATTCCAGAACATTCTGTATATGCCTATTACGAGACAACAGGCAAAAATGGAAAAACAA